TAAGTCTTCAGCTATCTTTGTCCTTCCAAATCAACTTTTATAATGGTCATAGGAGCCAGTGAGTCACTTGTTTTGACACCAACGGATGTTTCCTATAATGGGCGATGTAGGAGTGAGTTAAAGAAAAACAGGGGTCAGAAAAGAGATGATGGCTCCTAGTTTTGGTACAGATGGAAGATGCTGAAGTGGGATGGGCGGGGGTATCTGAGATCCACATGACCTTTGGTGGAGTCTTGTAGTCACCGCTCTAATCCATCAGTCTAGGGAGGGAGGAGGATACACGGTCCTCACTTTCTATCAACTGCATTCCATAAGCCTCCAAAGAGGTCTTAACTGGCCAAGGAGGCAGGGAAGTTGCAAGTCACCTGGTCATTGGATGAGGATGGGCACAGGGGTCCTTTGTTTGCTGGGAAGGTGGTTCTCAAATTAGGGGCGAGTTAGCAGGATCACTTAGCTTTTATCCAGGGACATCTATACTGAACACATATCCTTTCTCTTGCTTAAATAGACAGCTCAACTCAGGGAAGGTATGAAATGAGCCACAAGTTACTCTCAGGAAGAAATGAACCTCGGGCTGAATCGATGAGTTCTTTAAAGGAGAGAGCGTCCTGAAGATGGTAATGGACTTGGAGCCATGTGAACCCAAATCTTCTCCTTTACATGAGAGACAGAAGAATGCCTTCCCTTGGTTGAACAAAGCAGAGTATTTAGGCAGATTAAGGCTCATGACAAATGCTCCCAAACCTCTCACAGTGAGTGGCTCAAACAGTGGAGCTCCTGGAGGGAGGGGCTCAAGTTGGAGGCTGGGTGAGGCGGCAGACGGCATCCCACAATAGTGAGTTCTGACAAGGGCCTAGACTTTTAACGTAGATTCTAATTCTAGCTCTTCCTCTGACCAGCTGTGTGACACTGGGCAAGTCCCTTAGCCTCTGAGCCTCATTTCTCCATCCACAGAGGAGCGATCCAATCACTCTGGCCATATCTGTTTCACAGAACTGTTGTGCGAGTCAACTGAGACAACATATGTGAAACACACTCGATAGATTCCAAAGTGCTATACAAATGCTAATTATTATTAAGCGTGATTTTATTACAGCTGGGACCAAATGCTTTCTGGAACACATTTGTAATTGTTTACTGAATGCTACAGTAGGGACAGGGGAATTCCCTTAAAAAATGCCTCAAAGCAAGCTTTGCTGAAAACCAGCTTGCCAGTGCTGGGAGGATTCTGTGCGTGGCCCAGCTCCCCCAGGGCAGGCCCTTTGTGTGGTGGAGTGGGTGGGGCCGGCACCAGCCCCCTCTTCCTGCTCCTGCTCTGGAGCACAGCCCTGATCAGCCAAGCTGCCCACCTGCTGACCGCACTGGAGGAGCAGGAGAGAACCAGATGGGCCAAGACTCTGGAGCCAGACAGCCTCAGGTTCCAGACCGAGTGCAACAGGCCCACTTCTTGTGAGGAGATTGAGCACAGCCTTTAGACTCCCGGAGCCTCTCTGTATTTATAAATAATAGTTGCTACTTTTTACTGTGCTCTTACCATGTGCCAGACAGTGCATTAAGTATTTGTAAGGGTTAGATGAGATAACCAACCCATGAGATACCCAACTGACAGATGGAGAAGGAGAGGCCACAGAGGTTAAGGGATGTGCCTGAGGTCACAAAGGAAGTGAGTGGTGGGGCCAGGATTTCAAGTCTGGCTCCGTGTGGCTAGACAGCTTCTCAGATCTCTTCTAGCCCTGATGCTGTACTATTCTAACCACAACTCTTACACATAAACAGCATCTTGTTGTTTCCGAAGCTTCTATAGTTGTCAAGAGAACAAGCTCTTGAGTCAGCCCGCTGGGTTCCAACCAGGCTGTGTCACTGACTGTGAGATCACCTCTCCGAGACTCTGCTCCTTCATCCCTACAGTGGGGATAATGGCAGCATCTACAGGGCTGCGGTGAGAATTCTGAGAGATGATGCCCATAGCAAGTGCTCATTCCAGGTTTCCCTTTGTCTTAGTTTCCAGTTGGATCTGGCTTCCTTTAGTATTCCTCTCCTCCAGCAGCTGTGTAAGACTCTTCCTCCATCTATAACAGTGCTTGTTAAATTACGTCCCATAGTCTAGGGTTCCTTGGGGGGCAGTGTGGGGAGCCTGAAGGCGCAGGGCTCCATGTACCCCACCAGCTCCATCACAGAGCAGCTCTGCTGTTATCTGTTCTGCATTTTGGAATTCTGCAAAAGATGTTATTTAAAAAGAAGGTTTTGCTACTTAATTTCTAGGAAATGGATGGACTAAATGAAGGAAATGTGGACATACTAAACCTTAAAATTTCTATGTTCTCCATTTCTTATGCTATAGTCCAACTACAAGCTCTAAAGATAAGACTTAGGATGGGCAGCAGTGGGACAATGGTTCTGGTATGATCTTTACCCTCGCATCCTCTGGATCAGTTTGTGCATGAAAACCTCCTGGGGATCTTGTGGCGGGAACCAATACCCAGGCCCATCCCAGCGTGGCTGATTCAGCAGCTGTGGGCTGGGCCCAGTTTAACAAGCTCCCCAATGATTTCCATATAGGTTGTTAGAGTGTCCCCTGTGGAAACACTAGTCAAAAACACAGGGAATAGGTGGGTACTTCTCTCTACTACATTTTTAAACTTCTCAGTGAAGTTCAGTGAACAACGTTGTTCGAGGAAAATCTTATGTGGGATTCCCATCTTTAACACATAAAAGGGCAGCCAACCCAGTGGAGGGGATTTTCTGGAGCACTGGTAAGACCAGGCCTGGTCTTTTTCCTCTTTGAAAGCCCACAGCGCCTCCTTGTGGACAATCTGACCAAAGAGAAACAGTTCACACTGGGTTAAAGGACTTCCATCATCTGGTGACATCTCCCGGGACTCCCTGCCACGCAGCCCACCCCAGGCGGGCCTGTTTCCCCGTGCTACCCAACACCCTGTGAGCTTCCTCTGCATTCAGGCCATGACCTTCCCTGAATAGCCTCCTCTCCTCACTTAAGCCCCTCCATCCTCTATTAATACCACATCTCACCCCAGACGACCTCCTGGAACTCTCTCATCTTCAGTTCCTACAGAACACACATTCTGTGTAACAAAATCTTGCTGAGTCTTGGTCTTTAGCTGTTTCTGGGACTCATGATACATCCCCCTAAATATACCAAAATTAGACTGTAAGCTCCTTGGGGCCAAGATCCCCCTTCTCTTTCCCTCACTGTGTTCCCGATCCACATGGTAAACACCTAATACACACTCGCTGAATGAATGAATGAATGACTCCACAGTGTTCCCTTTCACGTCCCCTCCAATACCAAAAAAACTCTGAACTGATATATTTTGTAACTTGCTTTTAAGTTCTCCCTGTTTCAATTATTTTGGAGAGTGTTTAAAAATATTGAGTTATAGTGTTTAAAATGCATTTCAATTTTGAGCATTTTTTTGCAATGCAAGGCCAGAGAACATGACCTCTACATTTTCTTCTCTTAAAATCTTAAGCCTATGGGCCGGCCCTGTGGCTTGGTGGTTAAGTGCGTGCGCTGCAATGCTGGTGGCCCGGGTTCGGATCCCGGGTGCGCATCGAGGCACCACTTCTCCGTCCATCCTGAGGCCGAGTCCCACATACAGCAACTAGAAGGATGTGCAGCTATGACATACAACTATCTACTGGGGCTTTGGGGGGAAAAAATAAAATAAATAAAATCTTTAAAAAAAAAAAAAAAATCTTAAGCCTATATAGCCTCCTGTAGGCCACTGCAAAAAAGGGCTATTTCTCTTTGTAGATATTCAGTATATGTCTATCAATCCTACCTAAGTAATTACACTATTCCTACCCTCTTAACTTGATTTCATTTCCACCAGATATGCACTTATTTTTTTGTATATATTATCTGTCAAGGCTGTTAAGTTTAAAATTCCCTATTGATTTTTTTGGGTGGGGTCAATGATCTTCACCTTTCACTTGTGGGTTTTACTTTCCACTGTTGTTCAATACACATTGCTCTAATAATGTATTTCATTTACATTCTATTCCTTATTCCTTTATAAAATAAACCTTTCTCCCACTCAAGACTCTTTGCTCTGCATTCCTTCTTGTTTGATATTCATATTACCCATACTTTCCTGAATCAATATGCAGTCACACACATCTGATAAACTTCCTAGTTTTGCTTCTGTGACTTTTCCTTTATACGGCTTTCTAATAAACAATGCACTGCTGATTTCTGCTTTTGAATCCGATCTGAGGCTCTCTTTCCTAATTTATGAATCCAGACTGCGTATGTTGCTGTTAATCATGGTCTATTTTCTTTTATCGGCCTATTTTATGCCTCCTTGTGCTCTTCTGTCATCTTTTATTGCATGAACTACTCTGCTTCTACCTTTAAACATTTGGAAGATAAACACATTCTATTTTCATTCTGATAGTCATCAGTAAAATTGACTTAAAAACCGAGTCTCTTTTGGTCCTAGTCTCTGTGTGCCTTTGTCAACAGTCTCAATCCTGTGATTTCAAGTCCCTCCTGGGGTCTGACTTCGGTTTCTACTCATGTTCACATGTTTCTGGGGGACTTGGGAAGGCAAGCCCCCATGTGATGATACTACCTGCTCCAAATTACAGGGTGTGCCTGGCAGGGTCAGGGACCAGGCTCCTTTATCACCCCTTGGGTGCTCACCCACGCCGCCTCTCCACTAGTTTCTACTGCTGAGCGTTTCGAGCTGTTGTGTTGGCAGCTAAATATGCTCAGAGTCCCTCCTCCTCGGTTTCCGACACGTTTCTCCATGACTACCGAACGTTACTAGAATAAGAGGTGAGGCAGAGTTCACCGACGGGCTGTGGTCCCATCCCCCACTTTCTAGGCCCACTCTGCTGCCCTGATGCGACGAGCCCCTCTACGCTCCCACAATGAGCACAGGCCGCCCAGCGACTCTGCTGATTCAGCGGCAACGGGGCAGCTGACGGAGGCTCTGGGTCCCAGGCAGCAGGAGTTGGCCCTCGGGGTCTCTTACCTCGAACTGGATCAGCACCGTCCCGCTTTCGAGGCCCTTCTTTAGCTGTTCCATGGATCCCTCCAAAGTGTCCGCACCCTCTGGACACACAGGGAAAATGGCCTCCGGGAAGAGCTGGTTCAGCTCATCTTCAGATTTGATATCAGCAAACGAATGCACAGCTGCAGCGGACAAGAAAGACGGTGTCTGGCCTGTGTAGCAACCCTCTGCTTGATCAGTTTCCTCCAAAAAATTACACTTATGACACCTGAATGCAGATGGTTTAAAACATCTTATTAAATGATTAAGCACATGGTAATCATTATCACCAAAGACACTACTTCTTGTTGAATGATTCAATACGCACTAATTATACAAAATGACATACTAATCTTTCTGGTTAGTTTTAAATGATAGTGTTTAGTACTCAGAGGCTTTTGCCAAAGGTAAGAGAAAGGGAAAGAATGCTCTTAAAGAAAACAGCTCTTCTCCCTTTGCTCTCTTTGACCCAGCTCTTCTTCCACACAGCCCGCCCCCTCTTCCTAATCCGGTCCTTTTCATTTGTTCCCTTTTTCAAAAGAGGCATTTTCCCGGGGACTGGTGTGGGGTCCAGTGCTCTCTCCATGACACTATCGTCCCTCAAAGCCCGGTCAATCTCCAACTCAAGGCCATTTTTAGGTGGGAGGCTCCCAATCTCTAGTCCTAACATCTCCTCTGCGCTTCACCCCTACTTCTCCAGTACAAATTCTCCCTACACGTCAAACTCAGTGTGGGTAAAAATAACCTAGGACTCCCGCTTCCCTCATCCTGCACAATACCTCCCCAGCCTCACATGCCTGTCTACTGTCACTTCCTTCTCCAGTCTCCCAAACTGGAAACTTTGGGATCATCCTTGAATTTTCCCTTTCCACTCAGAAAGTCACTCCCTTACGCAAAAGCCTTCAATGGCACCCTACTGCCTTCGAGACAACAGGAACGGAGAAGGAAAGTAATAACTTTCGTGTTTTCCCACGTAGCTGAACTGAATCCTCACAGTTCTGAACCAGCTATCACTCTTCTTCTTTTACAGATGAGGACACTGACTCTCAAGGCAAAGAGGTTGTCCAAAGTGACCCAGCCTGTCAGAGCGGGACATGGGAATTCAGCCCACATCCGTGTGACCCTCAAGACCACATTCTTCTGACCACAGCAGCTCAGCTCTTCTGCTATTTTCGTGACTTCTGTCACATCTGCTACTTCCTATGCTACTGCTTACTTATTTTTTAAATCAATGTAAATGTTTATTTTCAAAATGACCTTACTGTTACAGTTATAGAAAGCCAGTGGAGCGGCCCTTTTAGCTGTAATAGTCTATAAACATCTGTTTTCCTCACCTCATCCAGGCACCAGCCCCTTGCCAGCGGGGGACTCCCCTCCCAGCGTGGCCAGGGTGCTCTGCCTCCAGCCCCCTATGATGGCCAGCTCACCGCAGGGCACACCATGTGATGGAGAGGCTGCTCCCCATCACCAGACGCCTTCGGCCCCTATTATCATGCAGCTTTACCTGGCAACTCACTTAACCTCTCTGTGACTTGGTTTCCCCATTTCCTCACTTGGGGATAATAATACTAGCCTTATAACAGCAGTATGAGAATTGAAGAGGCTCATTATGTAAAGCAATTAGCACAGCACAAGGTACTCCACTGGTGTTCTACAGACACCAACTGATACTATGCTGAACATCTACTGTGCGCCGGGCATCGTGCTGGGATTTGGTGGGGACAGGGCGGTGGAGGGGGGGGGTGGTGGTGGTTAGGGATCTGGAGAGATCCAGGAAGGCCTCATGGAGGAGGTGGGATGAGAGCTGGCACTGGACTCGGAGTTTTAGTGGAACAGAGAGAAGGCAGGTGTGCGGAGGTGTGAGGCCAGCACAGAGACACAGCGCCAGGGCTTTGAGTCACATACTTCATTTACCTTCAGCATTTTAAAGCCAGGCAGGAGGATTCAAGGACTTGGCTTATTGTTTTATAACAACAACAACAACAGTAATAGTATTCAATCGAGGCCATCCTTTGAACACCTACCACAGATCAGCATTCTGGGTGCTTTCCAGTATGAATGTCATTTAATCTGCACAAGAACCCCGTGAGATAGGGACTATTGGTATCCTCCCTTTACATGAGAGGAAACACACACCGACTGGGTAAGAAACCTGCTCAAGGCCCCTCAAGCAGTAGGAGGTAGAGTCACAATTACCCCGAGGCTGCCAGTCTCCTGCCCCACACTGCTTACTGCCTAACCAACCGAACACACATGAACAAAACATAACCCCATCCTTCAGGAAGCAGCTGAAAATGCGCATGTCTGCAGGGCCAGGCAGCTAGAACAGTGCCACGTTGGACCTGGGAGGTACTGGGGGCTCACATCCTGTATAAAGGGGGTGGGTGGGGCCTACCTCCAGAGGACCGGCCACGAGGGGCCGAGCCCCGTGTAGGCAGATCTTCAAATTTTTCAAGTGAGAAGTCAGACATCCTGGTTGCTAGGTGAAAGTTCTTGATTTTCAAATGCTGGCTACACACTCAACATTTTCACAACCACAGAATGGGCCCTGAAGGGCCTGCTGTGCTAAGGCCTCGGCCCTGCGGCTCCTCCCCCGCGGGTGGCTGTTACCTTTCCTCCTGATCACCAGGGCCAGCTCCCTCGTGTGGGACTCCCGGCTGGCTTTGATGAACATCACCACCTGGTCGTGGGTGTGTTCTGAGATGTCCCGGCCATTGATTAACACGATTTGATCCCCTTCGTTCAGCTTAGGAATGCAGGTGTCCGCCTGGGTGGAGGGGAAAATCGAGTTTCTTCAGTTACCATAACACAATCCTCTAGAGAAGACTGTGATGCTCTCCGAGCCCAGACACCTGAGGCCACGATCAAGTTCTCTTTTTCTCCCTCAGGTATTACCGTCATTATTTTTACATCCACTGCTACGCTGACATGGTAGTTGGTTATGGGATTTTAAACAAGTGCTGCTCGGAAAGCAAGTTATGAAACGTTTCAGAATAAGGCTAAGAGAATTACTGGAGCCATTTCCCTACGGTAGCCAACCTTCACTTACTCCTGTAATGTAATGACTATGATGCTTCTGATCTTTTGTTTTCTAGATGTGCTCTTAGAAATTGATTTGTCAGCTAAAAGTGACCACTTATCTATCTTGCAATGGAGAAAGCCTTTGCAAGCATACCACCAAAGGCAGAAACCATTACGGAGAGAGGCAATGTACTGAACAGTATAGGAATGAAAGCCTTCTTAATTCAGAGGCCATAAGCAGTAAGAAAAAGTAAACTACGAGCTTCAGGACTACTTAAGAGCAAGACCCCCAAACTGGTACCTTCTTAGCAGGCACAGTGACTCTACTCTACTGTTTTAAAAAATCAAATGATCTTAGGAGGCACAGACAGAAGGCTGAGGGTGATGGGATGGTGGGAAGGGGGCACAGGGTCCATGCGCCCACTCAAAATGGCAGAACAGCAAAGTCTCTGCCTCAGTTTTTTCTCTTGAGCAGTACTTCTAAAATTTAATGTGCACACAAATCACCCAGGGATCTTGTTAAAAATGCAGATTCTGCTTCAAGAGGTCTGGGGTGGGGCCCGAGATTCCGCATTTCTAACGAGCTCCCAGGTGATGCTGGTGCTGCAGCTTCAGGGACCACACTGAGCAGCAAGGTTCTGGAAAACAGAGACTCCACTCTTTCTTTCCATCCACATGCATGCATTTAGACACATTCTCTGCTGCTGGCAAAAAGGACACAGGATGCAGAAATAGAAATCTGTTCCATTTAGGGGGAAACAAACATGGAAAATAACGGAACATGTTTACTTACAGGTGACTCTGGGTTTATCCTGGAGACCACAAGAGGCATCTTTTGATCCACTCCTCCCTGTAAACATGTTAAGTTAAAAAAAAAACACTTGAGTAATGCATAGCAACAAGACATACAGATCTCTCTGGCACAGGGCTCGAACTTCAGTTTAACCCATCCTAATACCAGGGGTTGGCACACTTTCAGATTTATGGTACAAGGTTCCTGACCCCTCGGGGTCTAGTGGGCTACCCAGAAGACTGCTCAGAAGCCTTCCACTGCCATCCCCACATTCCATGAACTGAAGATGCACTTGGAGGCGGCCAGCTCCTTTTAAAAAATGCAATCATCCCCAGAAGGACTCCAATGGCACAGCCTCTGAGTGCTGCTGGAATGGGAGTGTTCAGTGGAGGAGAGAGAGGTCGCAGAGAAGGTCACACGCTGTGAGGGCTTTTGACCTGTGAGAGCAGGTGGTCAGCAGGGCTGCAGGGGTACATGAAAGGAGTGCATGATGGCAGCCATGGGGTGGGCAGCAGAGACCACCTGCCCTCACTTAGCTCTGGAGTAGGGGGCTGGCCAACCTTTTCTCTAAAGGTCCAGACGGGACATATTTTAGGCTTTGTGGGACAGAGGGCTCTGTTGCAACTGCTCAACTCTGCCATCGTAGTGCCAAAGGGACCATAAACCATATGTAAATAAATAGGTGTGACTGTGTTCCAATAAAACTTTATTTATAAAAACAGGCAGGATTTGGCCCCTAGGCCATAGTCTGCAGCCCCTGCCTAGGGGCAGGCAGAGGAAGGTGATGGCCCTGCCAACTTGGACTGCTATTCTCTCTTACCAGCATTAGCAATGCTGAGGGGTTCTCTTAATAACCCCTCTTCAGGGGGTAGATCTGCTTGCCAACTGTGTGCCCTCATCTCTCTGAGCCTTAGTACCCATCTATAAAATGGGCTTAAAAATACCAACTTCACCGCTTATTAGAAGAACTCACTGAGCTGATATAAATAAGTGCATAGCAAACACTAAGCACGGAGTAGGCACTTGGTATCAGGCAGCTGCTATGGTCACATAAAAAACTCCTAACTCTGAAGGCTGAGCCAACTTCCTTATGCAGCCTTAGGCGGCACGTTCCTAATGGAAATTAAAAATTCATCTAAAGACTGCTTCAGAGCATAAAACTTCCTTATAAATCACACAACATACCTTTAGATTAAATCCAAATTTTCCATCTTCGTCTGGCGTGATACGGATCAAGACTAAGTAGCCGTCACCATTATCATTCTGGAAAACATGGGAAAGTGGTCAGCTATGTTACTTCCCTCTCCAGCAGTCGGTGATACGATATTTTCTTTTAGTCACAACTACTTAATTGCCCATGAGGTGCCTCTGCACGGGGAAGCCTGGGGGGGTCACCTGGCGACTTCAGCCCACAGGACCTGAGCTCACTCACCTTGTCACAGTAGTACTGGCTGGAGTCCTCAGTGGAGCCCGCTTTGGTCACCCTGTGGAAGTCCTCTAAGAACTGCTGATCGACGCCATCTGGTGAGCAGGAGCCTGGAGCATTTGAAGATGGAGACACAGAACTGGATGACTTCTGGGTCAGGTAGCTGTGCGCTGGATTGTTCTCGGATATACTCCTTCATCATGGGGAAGGAGGAGATATTTTAATAACTGGCTTAATATTTTGTCAGAGCAAACATTACTGACTGTTAGGCCTGGCATCCCACAGTTGCCACAAATCCTTGGAACCTTAGAAGAGCTCCAAAGGTCAACCCCAGGGCTCTGGCACACCCCGAGTCCACTGGCTGCCCTTGCCCCCATCTGGCCTACTATCACCTTTAGCCTTGGGGAAAAGGGGCAGGAGGGCAGGGTTGATTCAGGAGCTGCTGAAAACTCAGCTCCCTTCTCAGCTGTTTTAGGAGGGTGATTGGGAAATGTGCCAGCTACTCAGATGGTTTAATTATTAAAGCTCACTCAGATGCACATGTCTCCACCCCTTCTGAAAGCTTTTCCTTCCATCTCATTCCTGCTGATAGCTCTGCTCCATAAGACTCTTGGCTACCCAAAGGAAATGGGACTAATGTTGCATATTCAGGACAATTCATATTAATCTTCATTTACATTATTTGCCTGTGACATCCATTAGTTGCCCACACTGAGATTACACGTTTTATTTTCCTCTCGTATGGGCCCTTCTGGATCTTAGAGCTGCATTATCCAATATGGTAGCCACTAGTCACATGTGGCTATATAAGATTAGAACAGTTCCTTCGTCATACCAGTCACATTTCACAAATACTCAACAGCCACATGTGGCTAGTGGCTCCTATAGTGGACAACACAGTCATAGAACATTCCCAACATTGCAGGAAGTTCTACTGGACAGTGCTGTCTTAGAGAATTACAGTCTATAAGAACCGAACAGACCTCTGTGGTCATCTGGTCCAACTCCCATTTCACAGATGAAGAAACTGTGGTCGAGAGAGGCTGAGTGACTTTCCCCTCGCTTAACAGACAGAAGTCTGATGGACATGGGTCCCCAAGCATCTCTCCTCTCCAGGCCATACTAAGTCTGCTCCTAAGACCCCTCATCTCTAACCTCACAGGGCGACAGGGATTAACCACGTCACCATCACTGTACAGGACACTCAACTTCTCTGCATCATGTACCCCCAGGCGAGACCACTTCCAGAGCCGCGAGCCTAGCAAAAGATGCCTTAAAAAGTCTACAGAATATGGGGTTTTCCTCACGTTCTACAGACTTCTCCACATTCTAACCTCATACGAGGTTAAGTGATTCAAGAGGTGAGCAAAGACATTCAGTGAAACATAAACAAGAGAGTTGCTGTTGCCTCTTTAAACCTTTCTTTCAAGCCCTTATCCATGAATTTCATTAAAACAGTGCTTCTCTGTTTCCTAGCAAGTTCAAATTAGCTTACTTTAAATATAAAATCTGTATCATAGTCACACAGAATGATTCACAGTCTCAATTTATTTGAATAAAAAAATTCAGTGGCAGACCAATGTAGAAACATAGCTCTATGCAAGAGAAGAGTTTGGTCTTACAGTTTTCAAGTTGCTGGTTGAAGGAACTGTGTTATGCATGGGGAGGCATTTCAGAGAGAATATTGTGGAACTGAGGGGTATACTAGTGGTAAGTTTTCAGAATGAAAACGAACTAGACTTAAATTCACTTAAAAGGAATCTAAAAGATAATTTCCCCTCACTCCTTCCCTTGCCCAGAGCAACTTTACTGTGTTAATGATTACAAGAGCATCCCCTAGTGGCAAGAAGGGGAACTGCTTAGCAGTTACTAAGCAAGCCAGAGCCATATGGGTTTAGGAAACGCTATTTCCAGTTCTAGGGGTGAACTTGAACTTTTTAACATGAAGAGATTGCAAGAAAATAGCATACATACTTCAAATGTTTGGAAGATCTGGAGGGTGACAGCGATGGAAAGGGTGAAGGGCATGTAAACAAAAAAAACCCCAGAAGAGCAAGGTGACAAATTGGAAGAGAACAGATCAATTTCAGTAAGACCATAATATATGTTATATTCATCATGTTCACTTAATTTCTACATTTTGAATGTGTGGATACATCATATAAGGTTTTAAAGTATTTTTTCTTTTTCAGTATAAAATGTAATGGTCTATCTAAAACAGCCCACAGTACTAAAAATAATGTATTCAAAGTCATTATGTGCCCAATCCTATTTTCTAAGTAGGGATGGAGAGGTACTTTTAGACCGTAATTGATTGAACACATGACGATATTTTTTTGGCTGATCAGCTGTGTACAGACATTCCCTGTAGGCTGTGGTAACGTTCTGCTCAGCGTGGAGGACAGACAGACAGATGGTGAGGAGGACCATCCAATGATGAGAAGCAACAAGAAGGCGGCAGCTGGATGCAGCACAGGGATGCCAGGAGTGAAGAAGCCAAACTAAGGGGGCTTCTCCCCTCCTTGGTGCTACTGAGAAAGAGCCTAGTGGGTGAGGAGGGAGAGAGGAGGGAGAGAGGAGGGGAGCTGCCCTGTGGAACCAGGATTCTACGGGGGTAACTGTGAAAGGAGCGAAGAAACGGATAGGCCGAGGGAAGCAAGAGGACAGAGGGCTGGATGAAGCCCAGGATTGCAGAGGAGGGAGCAGAAGCAAGAGATGTGCCCCTGAGGCAGGAGGGGGACCGCCACTGCCGTGTGGAAGCCAGAGCAGCCAGGGAGGGACTGACCACCCCCAGCTCCCTGGAGAGAAAGGCGGAGACAGACAGACTGACAGGCCGAGACACAGGTATTCGCCCTCAGGAAAGAGACGCTTCAGAACTGTAAACGCAATAGGTATCAGAAACAAAAGCCGTGACAGAATTCATTTCCCTGAAGAGAAGCAAAGTTAAAGAAATTAAAAACGGCAAGATTACCCAAGGAAGAAAGACTCCCACGAGATGCTCTTTATACCCCTCTTTCCTAAACCCTAGAAGATTACAAAGACCCCCCCCCCCCGACTGCCCAAAACCTGTGAAACGGAGCAAAGTTGTGCTTCCCCTGAGTGCTCCACAGCTCTAACTGGGCGAGGAGCATTCGCTATGGCGGTGTGACAGAATAGGGGCCGTTTTGCGCCGCGTTTCTCAAATCTAGGAGCTTCTCAAGGTCGGGAGAGACCCTAGTCCTCCTCCTATTCCTCTCCTAGTGCACTTTTAACACAGGGCAGGCTCAATTAAGATGCTGAAGGAAAAAAAAAAAAACTGCCTTAACCAGGTGAGTTACTCTAAAAGAACACAAAATTTACTCAGCAAGCTGGATGCTCAGGTGAGAAGAAGGTGGGTTAAACAGTTCTCAGATTATGGGAGATCAGAGCTGCTGAGAACGTCAAGAATGTAACGTTCACACGATCACCTGGGGGTGTGTTACAATGCAGACTCTGATTCAGCAGGCCTGGGGTGGGCCTGAGAGTCTGCACACCAGCAAGCTCTCAGCGGATGCTGAGTTTCCTGGTCCACAGCTAAAACTGAAGTAGCGAGGGGCTAAGAGAGAAAACGCACAGTTTCTTTCGAATAAGATTCCTGGGGAAATTTATCACATGGATCCTTACATAAGGGTCATTGAGCACCAGAAAGAATACTGTCTTCAAGTACGGGTTTTTATGAGATGGAGAAATTCTTCACATCATACTCTTACCTCTGTAATAAATGCCAAGGGACCAAGATCAAACTCAAGAAGCAGCTAATGGCATGTGTTGCTTTCTGAGCTCTATGTTTCTTCATTAATGGAATCATGGGTTATGTATCTGGCCCCCAGGCTGCCCCCTCAGGTATTAAGATACCTCAATGGCAAGAAAAGCACTTGTTAAGTTTCAGTCAATTCATGCTTGAATTCTGACAGAATTTCTCATCGACATATGCCCTGCAGTAACACCCACCACATGGCTCTGCTCACAGATGACAGTTAACTAAAAACGCGTCAAAGTAAATCTGTTTGATTCCTTGGTGTGCAGAGATACTGCGTGATGCTGCTCATAGGACACGGGTACCTGACGTGGAAGTGGCACAGGGGGCATCCCATCGTGAAAACTTGGGAGCTTGTTTGTACTTTATCCGAGCACCTTCTCCTGCTTCCTGTAACCATCTGTCCATCTGTCTGTTCATCCATCCATCCATCTGAGTAGTCACTGAGTATCTACTAAGTGCCAGGCGCCACGCTGCATTTGGAGGAAGGAGAGGTGAATAGGGCCCTATCCTTGCCCTCAAAGAGTGGTCTAGTTTAAGATCAAGTAATCAAACAATATTACCGTGTTGTAATGGAGATGCTCAGATGACTGGGGACAGAGGGAGGCCAGGAGAGGCTTCACAGAGGAGGTGGCGCTTGAGTTTGACAGATGAATTAGGCGTTTGAACAGGGAGTCAAGAGGGAAGGAGAAGGTATTCTAGGCAAAACATGAAAAACGAAAGCAGCAGCATAGGCAAAGGCATGAAACTCTGAAAAAGTACAGAAAAAGTATTTATGCAGGAGTGACATGCTTGGGCATGGATTTCAGAAAGATACGTCTGTTATCCTTGTTAAGGATGGCTTGGGAGGAGGAGAGACCAAAGACAGGAGGACACCCAGGACATTACTGCAACAGTCCCCAGGAGAGGTGACGGTGGCTAAACAGAGGCAGTGCAGTGGATGGTAGAGGGGTCCAACTCAAGATATGTTTGGGAGGAAGAATGAACGAGGTGAGAAACTAGAGGAGGAAGGTGGAAGAAAAGGAGGAGTCAAGGATGACAAGTTTCCAATAGGTGTAAACTAGGTGGTACTGAAACGTGGCCCCAATCACCAAGACGAAGGAGGAGCCATAGGTTGGACATGAAGATGAGTTGAGATTGGGCCACGCTGGGTTTAAGGTACTTGTCAGACGTCCCCATGCAAGCAGGCCAAAGTCAAGTGAAGGACAGGCAAGGTGCAGGGAAAATGAACAAGTCCTAATGAAACCCCGTCGCTGGCTGGTGTCCTCCGAGAGACACTTAGATGGTGTATAGATCCTGTCACCATGTTCAAATCTGGGTGCCATCCTCGAGTAAAGGACTATGTGCACTTGGAGAACAGTGACTAAGAGGGTGAAGGATGGAGAGTGGCCACAGGAATCAGAATTGTCTAATTGAAGGGACAGTAGATGGGGTTGTCAGGTAGCATTGGAAATGGATGCCATTTATGCTCTAGGAGCCCAAGGCAGGGACCTTTGGAGGGCAAAGCTCATGCTGAGTCAGCGTCCATTAGGACAACTGGGCTGTCCACCAACAGAACAGGTTACCACCCTCAGGAGAGCTCCCCATCACTGGTGGGGTGACCAGGTGACAGGGCCGAGGGAATTCCTACACTGGCGACTTGGCTGAAGAAGGGAATTCCCAAAGTCCCTTCCGATGCACAGAAGTTTTTAAAATATTTTTAACAGTGGCAAATTACACATAATATAAAATTTACCATCTTAACCATTTTTAAGTGTACAGGTCAGTAGCATCCAGTGCATTCACATTGTTATGTGCACACAAGTTTTGAAATAAAAAGTGACAGCTGCCTTGGGTCTCGTGGAACAAGGCAGGCTCTACAAAGAGAGAAGCAAATAGCAAAGGTGTTATGATGACACGAAGCCCCCCTCACTCTGAGAAGCGTCTTATCTCATGACCCGTTGAAATAATTGTGATAATACAACAACAAAGTTCTACAAATACAACACTCATCTGCCCTAAAATTTGCTTTCCTCCAGTTTCTGCTCTGCAAAGGGATGTTTTCCTCCCATTTTTCTGGGTGTTGGGTTTTTGTTTCATGCCACAAAGGAAACTTCCTTCTCTGCAGATTTTGATGTTTGCTCTGAAGCAAAGAAAGGAACGCAGAAAGGCTGAGAGAACGTTGGAGTAACAAAAAAGTACAGCCTCCTTGGACACAGAACAAACTGGCAAGGATTCATAACTATAATCATAAACTTCGCTGTGCTGCTATAAATACGGAACCAGCCGGCGGTGACTCACGCCCTCAGACAATGTTCAGAGAGCCTGAGCCGCACCGCTTTGGGTTTAGAGCCAAAGTCGAACCCTTCTTTCCTCCTTTCTCTCCTTCTTGTTTAAATGGGTACAGAACATTACATTTAATTCTTCTTTCTAAAAGGAACCCTCCTCGCTGTCTGTAACATTATTCATCTGATTTCTCTGACAGAATACTTCTTTTTGCCTCTTACAAATCTGCTGTATAAAACATGTCAAACGATTCTTAAACATTTTGCAAATACTCACTGAAGTCACCACCACAGTTTTTTTCACCAAGTACAGACCAAACTTCCCTTCTGCCGTGGGCAATGGGGGGCCCCCAGACTCTCAGGGAGGCCAGCTGCCTCTGAAGACCTGGCAGAAGGGGGCTCCCCGCCAGCAGGAAGGGGTCCCCTACCTAACCGAGGTGGTCGGGGCTATGACTTGACTCTGTGAGACATCTACTGCTGGCAAAGCCACAACGACAAGGAAGTCTGCCTTTGAACCACCGTTATTTGCTACTTTTAACATTTAGCTGCAAAATAACAAGTGCCCCAGAATGACACATCTTACAAGGTCTCACAGAGGATTTTCAGAAAGAATTGATGTGCAATGCATAGGGGTGAGCAAGACTAGAAATTACTTAAATCAAATAGGGCTCGAGGAAGTGAATTTTAAATTTTATGAACTTAAACTTAGCTAGGCACACGTGGCTAGCGGCTCCTATACAGGACCGTGAAGGTCCAGATGCTCTGCCATTCCCTGACGTGATAGCAGACCACAGGAGGAAAATCTGATGTAGGACATGTAACCAGGCTTCTCGGAACCCTCTTCTCTTTTACCAGAGACAGAGCCCCATCGCGCGACGATGAAGGCTGACAATGTGCTATCTGCCCAGCTGGCCTGGAGGCCCCTGAAGGCAAAAACTCATCTAATTCGCCTTCATGTTCCCTCAATGAGCAGCAAAGGGTGTATAAAGTGTGTTGCTAGACTCAGCAATGAAGGTAGCCCTTAAAAATGTCCACTCCCCACTGGACAGAATCCATCTCTCCTCCCCCTGGCACTGACTGTGTAATGAGACATCGGGGTGCTGGGCTGTAAGGGCTCTCAGAGGCCGTCCATGCACCCCTGGGTCCACAGACAAGCAGTGAGGTGACTGGTGACAAAGATCCAGACTGCAAGCAAGACAATGATCCCAAACTCACTCTCAATTTCCATTTGAGAAATGCCCTTTGAGCTTGAAGACATTCTGGGGGTTCACTCCACTTTAAGAGTGATAGAATAAAGGTTTTAGTCTAAATAAATGCTGTCAACGGTACTTTCTGTGACGATGAAAAGGTACTACATCGGTCCAATACGGCAGCCACTACCTACATGTGGTTCTTGAGCACTTGAAATGAGGCTTGTGTAACTGAGGGACTGAATTTAAATTTTATTTTAAATAACTTAAATCTGAATAGTCACATATGGCTAGTGGCTACTGTAATGGACAGTGAAGGTCTAGAAGCTCCCCAATTCCATGATAGGACTGCAAACCACAGTAGGGAGATCTGACATGGAGGGTGTGACTGGGCTTCCCATCAGTTCCTTCCTTCTCAGTCAGTTCCCTAGATTCTCTTTCTCCTCTCACCAGAGCCAGACTCAAACTGGCTCAAGAGATACACGCCTGCACTCTGCCTAGATCTAGATTTGTAAAACCACAGTGTCACACAGGAATTCACATCCTGCCACTTAGCTCAAGGCGGGAGCAAGAGATAGTGATCATTTCAACAAAAGCATCATTCATGCTCAGGTCACAAGGAAACAACCAGAGGATTATTTAACCAGAGGTGTTAAGAACACAGATAAGCTGGAAACCACATCCGCTGTGGCCTGTGGTCGGGGACAGCAGAGGGGCAGCAACCTCACACAGAAGTGGGAAGCGAGATTTGCAGTTCTCTTGTGATGCCTGGAGCACAAGGAGGATGCATTTAATGCTTTAAGCCTAGTAGTCAAGTGCTGAAAATGTATAGATCAACTGAAGTGCCTTCTTGCTAACGCTCCGCTGTGAGGGGAGGCAATATGTTTCTATATTTTGGACATAGTATGGGACTTAGAATGGATATCCAATGACTATGGTTGACTTCCTAATAGTTGACCCATTCCTATCACACTTTAGCTTCAAATGTCATTTTATTTATGACCTATGTCTTGTCCACTTCAAAAAAGGATTTGAGATAGCTTACTCTAAAATGTATGGATATGACAGAACTGTGAATTCATTAAAACAAGAGAAAAAAATAAGACCCACTCATAAGGCAAAGGAGGCAGAGCAGGGACTATATCAGAAACCTGAGCTAAGGGAAGCCAATGCAACGGAACATTACACGCAGCTCTGAGCCCCCTGGTAATCAAGTCAAAAAGGGAACTAGTGAATTAGACGTATCTTAATGAATAATAAAAGGACTCAAGCTAGTATTTTAGGAGAGACATTTTTTCCTGGCCTTGCGATGTGAAGGGAGTTTGTCACGTTAAAAAAAGGAAAGCAGGAACATAAAAGAATTTAATGCATACTGTCCTTGACAGAAATTTAACACAGAAAGTCAGAGATGTTCTATGCATGTTTTTTCTTTACAGTAACTATTCTTTGAAAACAAAAAGAAAACAAAAACCCTGAGGGCATACTGTGGTTCTGAGAAGGCTTTCTGTGGAGAGCAAGAGATAAGCGTATTTCCAGGGATCTGGACTCCTGCACTGCTAAAACTTTGACAATCTACTGAAATATTACTACTGTTAACATGTCTATCCCTCTGGAATATGAAATGATTTAAACTGGGATTTGATCACGAACTGGAGAGGAGACTATTCAAGAGAGCTAACAAGTACTGTATGTGGAGTGGGGGTCTTGGTCGTAGACAAAAAGAAGTGCAAGCCCTACACCCCAGGCACCAGCTTGCTTCCAGTGGGGCAAGGGAGAGTCTGCTTTGTGTTCTCACCCCGCTGACAGCACCCTAGGAAGCTGGCTGCAGGCTCCATCCCCAACGAACTCCTCAACAGCCCAAACAAGCAGAGACAGAGAAAGAGAACAGCTCAAGTGTCTTACTTTCGGTGCGGGCTTCGGTTCTGAGACACCTCGGAATCGCTGTCTTTCGGGGACAGGGAGCCCCTGTAGGTGTAAAACACATCTTCGGTTTCGGTAATGTACGTCATCTCGTTGGTGAGGTTGTCTGCGGAAGAGTGCCGCGGCTTTCGGATTTCGTGCCGGAGCCGAGGACTCCGCCTGGGTGGGGGAAAGGCTGCGCGTGAAGTGAGGAAACAAACTCCGCTTAAAGATGTTATCAGACATCAGTGATCTAACTTCGTGCCCTGACCCTTCTAAGGACGCTTTGGCTGACGTTGCTGGAAATCAAGAGCCGGTTAGCCCATGACTACACCAGAAGCCACCAAGGGCCACTCGGGTCCCTGACACTCTCTGCCCAGTGGTGCAGACCTCAGAACAGCAGCCTCAGCTTTATAATTAGGCAGGTGAGATTGACGCTCTTGGGAAGTCGATGAGTGTCAATTAAGCGTGTTATTCTTCCAGAAGGATTCAAGCTCTCAATGCATCAGTGACAGGCCATATTGACTGCTGATCAGACAATTTTTCTGATTCATTTGAACGGAATAAGCAAAGGGTTTTGAAGCCAAAGTACAGTTTTTGGCAAAACTCAAACCTTATTTCAACTACATCTCTTCATGTGAATTTCGCTTGATCCAAGAAGGAATATTTGCTTTTTAAAATATATCCTTTACGTGGTATTAGATGGGCAGAGAAGCACCACCCAGTTCTTCCAAGACCAGCAGTAGCTGTGTGACCTTGGGCAAGTCACATCACCTCTCTGGGCCTAGTTGTACCTTCCTGCTCCTGAGAATGAATTAGATGAGGCAATGTTCTCAGGACACCGGGTGCAGCAGCTGGGCACCGGCTCCTGCAGTGAATGATCCCAGGCTGCTGATCTTTCTATTTTCCCTCAGTTTTTCCACCTTCCCCTTCTTTGTTAGCCATCTCGCCTTGAGACTGTCAGGGCCTCCACCATTCGCAATCCCCCTGGGCCCAGATAATCAATAATACTGCGTCCAAAATGGAGTAGAAAGGCTTGTGACTCCTCAGGAGAGGATCTATGAAAGGCAGAAGAGCTCCAGGCCACGGGTGTGGCAACACCCACCCGCTGTTCTCCTGGATGCTGTCCTGGGCCTCTCCTCGGGGCCCTGGCGTCACCGTGGAGATTTCCAGACAAATAGAGCTGCTATTTTATAGCACAAACTTACCGCTTTGGGGTAAGGCGCCTAATTTTGGAAACCAAGAAACAGATCTACCCGGTCACGTTACGATTGCTAACACTGAATACCATCATCATCCCTGCCCAAAGCAATTGGCCCCATGGAGGGTCCTTACCAAGCTGCCCTGTACAACAGCTCCTTTTCTTGCCTGCCTGTTAGACTGTCCCTTTGTCCTGGTAGAGCCCTCCTCAGGAATTGACAGGTCCACCCTGTCTTTCACGAAATAAACAGAAAGCCCCGCTCTTATCCCAGCGTGGAGCTGGAGCAACGTTTCCAGCCTGCTTTCCCTTCTGCTGATGATGCCCGGCTGTTTTGGAGGCGTTCACAAAAATGGCCTGATGTCTTTGGGGAACATTATGATAAAATAATAATTCCATCTGATTTTTTTTTTTTTTATAGCTTACAAAGCACTTGCACTTCATTATTTCATTTGTGGCGATTTTTATACCCCTTTTACAGATGGGGAGACTGAGATCAGAGAGAGATAAAGAAACTTGTTAATTGCCACAAGAGCTAAAATCTGAGTCTGGGTCTTCCAGCTACAAACCCAGTGCTCTTCCCACTTGGCCAAACTGCCAGTCCTTCCTTTTCAGGCGAGACCGTCATCTTAAAAGTTGGCAAGCTACTTCCCGACGTGCATTTGCTACTGTTGCTGAGGGTCACACATCTTACAGCAGTTATATCACACATCTTGATCAGATTTTCCTAAAGTTTATTTTGTGTAATGTTAACGGGAGACATGAAATTAAATCAAGTTAAATGTACTTCTTTATCACAGGACTTCTCAGAACATTAATACGCTAATGTGTACCATAATTCCAAGAGGGGCATTTCACCAGGCTGCAGTTCTCAAATTTATTTAGACAAAATAGTAAAAAAAAAAAAAAAAGAACATCCCAGCATTATACACTAAGGAAAATGTTTAGCTAGACTTGTGCATTTCACGAGTGCATTTCACGAGAACAGTTACTTCAGCAATAGCCAAATATGCAAACATAAACTCTGATTGCAGGCCATCTATACTTAGGAATTTATTGAGTTTTTCTTCTTAAAAGAGAAAGTGTTTACTGGTGGGTAGTACAAAATAAAAGGAGGACATACCAGTTGGGAGTAATAGGAGGGGACCGAGAAGGTAGACTCTTGGTTTCTAAATGCTCCACTGATAAAGATCTCCGCATGGCTGGGTTCCACACCATCCCTCCAATCACCTTTTTGCAATACTGGTTATTTACAGACCTGAAAAACCAGACTCAGGTTCACCTTCTACAAGGACATGTTCGACAAGACAGAAATTACAGTGTAAGTGAAACAGTCTATACACACTCCCTCCCTGACGGATGATGGGTTGACACCTTGATGAAACCAGCCAAGGTTACGAGGGGCACAGGTACACGGTCAAAAGCAATTCCTTTCTGCCCTGGCTTTTCCTTACGTTATTTCTTCTGGTGAAAATATTTTCTTGTCGGTACTACTGCAAGCAATCAATATAAGAATATAACCAAACCTTGCCAGATGAGAAGAACTTCAGGATAACATGGAAATATGGTTCAAGCCACTTCAAGGAATTCTCACTCTACTCACATGGCATGAGTACAAACATTATCCATCCTTCCAGATGCTCGTTATCCCACCGGCAGAAGCTGTCACTGTAAATCTCTGATAACTCTTGGAGAGAAGACTTGAGAATATGCTGAGACAGAGTTTCAGGCCATGTTCTTTGAATGTGCCACCCTGAAGGTTACTTTTGAATTTTATATATACCTAGAGAATTTAAATCTTAGCTATCTAGACCCCTCAGAGAATGAATTATTTGAGAGAATGCAGTTTGAAGCCGGTTTAGGGGAAACTCAGTTTTGGCATTTCTAAGGTTTAAACAAGAATAAGACATTAAATATTAATAAGACATTAAAACATTCCACACATTTCCTTGCAGCCTATAAACCAACAAAAACCAAACAGAACAAAAAAACAAAAGAACATAAACAGCATGAAACACTCCCTTGAATATCAATGTACTAATTCACAATAATACCGTTGCCACCCTGATCAAAATGCTCACAGTAGCATTGCTAGAATCTACATCAGAAACCAAATTACCATTGATTGAGAGCACAGCATGGGAACAAGGGCAGCAAGCCAGGTGATTCAAAGGTTTAACGCAGCAGTTCCCCAAAGTATGTGTCACGGGTTATTAATAGATACTCTTTGGAAAAAAAGTGTTCCATTGTCCCATTAACTTGGAAAATACTAAACAAGTTTCTTTTATGTGGAACCTCTCGGGGGCCCAATACACAAATATGTCGATGTATCTCTAGGGGGTTGGGCAAGTCATGTAACCCCTCAAAGCCTCAGGTTGCTCATCTATAAAATGGAGAAAATGAAGGCTGAAATTTGCCAGTACGCTGAAGCCGGTACTGGTAGTAAAGAATTGCTGACCTGAGCCACTGAAACACCCGCAACGTCCCAAGTGACTTGCAATGGTGGATTAAAGAAGGCTGCAGGTTCTTTGGCTCTTGAATCTAGCCCAGCCTGTGATCGTTTTGACCAAGAGCAGCTGTGCCAGTTCTGGGCCTAGCTTTTTTTTTTTTTTTTTTTTTGCTGAGGAAGATTCGCCCTGAGCTAACATCTGTTGCAAATCTTCCTCTATTCTGTATGTGGGCCACCGCCACAGCATGGTCACCGACCAGCAGTGTAGGTCCGTGCCCAAGAATCAAACCTGGGCCACCGAGTGACGCATGCCTACTGTAACCATGAGGCCACTGGGGCTGGCCCTGGGCCTAGCTCTTAAGATGATTGGCCACTTCTGTCCTAGGCTCTTAGAGTCCTATGCCTCTGTGTAAGAAATCCAACTACCCTGTTGGAGAGTTCACACGAAGAGCACTTGAGAACACACAGAGGAGGGGAGGGGTCCAGGTAAGTCTAGCCCTCTGATCATTCCATCAGGGCACCACATATGAGAGAGAAGTTGTCTTGGACCCTCAGCCCAGCCCAGCCACATATCACTTAGAAACCCCAGTCTATGCCACATGAGCAGCAGCAGCAGCTGGCCAAGCCCTTCTCAAACTCCCCACCCACAAAAACCTCGAGATATAATAGAATGGTTGTTGCTTTAAGCCACCAAAATAGAAGTAATTTTTTTACGCCACAGTGTATAACCAGCAACCCCCCACCCCGCCCCCCAAATCCTCTGTGTTGGCTGCATTTTACAGATGAAAATGAAAAAGCAAATTAAATTAAAACTAAAGTGACACGGGTAGAATTTAAACCCAGGCTGCTCAGCAATAGAGTCCACACGTTCAAATGCTCACCATCCACTTCTCAGCTGGGCTGAAGGGTCAGGCCCAACCCAAGTAAATACTACATTCCAATCAGTTACCTTCGTGACTTGTTCAGTAATAGAACTATGGAATGTATACAAATACTAGACAGTATTATAAGCTAAAAACTTTGAAAATATATTTGCTCTTGGTTCATCAGAAGCTGAGAGAGAGCAATCAGCACCACAAACACTATCACTGACACTAATAGAAATTTGCTGTTTATTCAATCTATAGAGTTACCCAGTGATTATCAACATAATAAAAAAGTCATTGGAATAGTCTGTCTGATACCATCAGATAATGCCTCAGTCAGGTGCATCATTTAGTCAGTAACAGCCACATCAACAACACAAAATCACAAGAACAATTTTCCAAACAAACAATTTAGAAACTGTAAGAATAATCTGATAAACAATGTTACCTCTTGTATTTAGAAGGCAGTCTTAGAAAAAATAAATACACAAAAATATGAACTGCATGGTTAGTTCAGTCATAGAATAACCTTTAATTTAAATGAAGTTAAAAATGTATAGATTTCTTTTATTACACTAGTCATTAAATATTTTAAATATCATCCGTGTGGATAACAGTACACACAGAATTGCTGTAAGAATTAAATACGATTATGTGCATGTAAACACTCAATAATTGTCAGCTATAATTGTTACTGTTATTTCATGATTGTTATACATAGTATATCTCAGTCACTTGACTCTGGAAATCTTTATTTCTGTTTATTCATTCATTATTACAGAGCATCCTATGGAATTAATGTTCTGCGGGAGAGGCTGTCTTTATGGCAACAAACCAGGAAAGCCCACATGCTGGGCACCACGACGACCCTCAGAGCCACCGCCATGTGCTTCCCTTATTGTGACATAGTGTGGCAGCAGATGCAATGCTGGCTGCTTGGGAGCTCTGAGGACAGGAGATGTGAGGAGGCAGAAATGAATGATGGGAATATGAGAAGTACCTGAGTGTGCGGAAGGAAACACTGCTGCCCCCGGAGAGACTCTCAGCCATGGTTCCGAGATCCACCGGCAGCCCCAGCTCCAATGCCTGGGGCCCCTGAGGGATGGCGTCCCCTCCCCTGACTGAGGACGTCCACTACCCAGTGGCGATCAGGACACGGTTGCGTCTCAGTCTAGTGTGGATACTGTCCCTAAAGGATACTCACTTTTTGGGGTTCCTCGAGCCCAGAGTCCAGTACTGAGACAGAACATTCTTCTCCTGAGGTAGTAGCTTCTTTGCCTGAAAGAACGTATGGTGCTCGACACACGATTTCCACAAGTTTTTGCAAGATCGGTAATTTAACATGTTGAAGGCCACAATATGTTCCCTGGATTCCGCCTGGGAGGAAAAACATAGTAGAGAAGTCATCTGCATAGACGGAGGAGCAAGGTCTCACCACATTCTATGCACACATCAGTGTCACCAGCTAAGATGCAATGGACAGAAAAAGGGCTTCCAAATGCCTCGGGCCACAGACCAGTGTTAAAGGAATAATCAAGAGTCGGATGTGTTAACCATCTTTCTGAATGTGGTAACAAAGATGACCAGAGTCTACTCCTTTTCATCACCTGTGGTCCTTCACGAACACTTTCATTTCAAATCTGCTTACTTTTCTAGGTTGGATATATTTGGAGCAACCAGGTAAGGTCTGTCGGATACTTTCCTTTGAAAATCTAGCTCTGGGAAAATCTTGTGAAGAAATAATCTTCTACCTATCAGATGAGAGGAATTAGTAACCCTTCGGATTTCTCTGCTTTCCACAAAGCACAGAGTTAAATCAAGTGCTCATATATCATTCAAATTATTTCCTTTGCCTTCATCCCACCTCAGTTTAGGTTGTCTATTTTCACGTCATATTACCATCTTGTGCATTCTGTGCCACCTTCAATCTTGCACTGGGGGGTAAGGAGACCCAGATTCTGGTCCTAATTTGCTCTGAGCTTCAGTGCTCTCATTTCTAAGAGTTCATTGCGATGTGGAGCCATTTTGAGTACATACTATCTTTGGAAAATTGGGAAACGGTCATAGTGACAGTAAGTGAAAAATATGCAGCATAACAAGACAGAGGGTAGTGTCGTGGACCGAGCTGGCATCTCGGATTCATGATGATGGCAGGGTCAAGTCCCAGCTCCTCCAACTACCAGCTGTGGGAGCTTCAGCTCTCTCACCTCTAAGTCGTTCTCCATGTGGATAACCACACTGAGTTATCTAGACAGCTGTGGACTCCTCTTATGAGACACATAAAGGCAATGGTGCATTTTAAACACCAAGGGAAGGAAGCGACCTTGCTGACATTTATTGCTACTCTGCGGTGGGCTCTGCCAGGTGCTCCGACCAATGAGCTTTCATTTAATCCTCATGATTCCCTGAGGAGTGGGCATTATTGCATTTCTGTCAGCAAGGTCACTTGGGCTAGGGGAGGTTCAGTAATCTGCCCAGCTGGTAAGCAGAAGACCTGGGACCCGAACCCATTGTCTCCGACTCCAAAGCAAGTTACTCCTCCAACCAGAGAAGCGAAGTGAATCACAGAGAACTGCTGGATCCTCTGACATCCATTTTCCTTCCACCATATGGCGCGCGCTTTCTTCCCTGGTATACATATGGCAAACTGCCTTTCCCCGCTGGGGAACTAAGAGCTGACGTGGCTAAAACACAAGAAACAAAGCAAGCGTAGACATAACTCACCTGCTTTTGTCGCTGATGTATAAAGAACTTTTTCCTCTTGAAAGAAATTTTTAGTATGTTCACCCTGTAAAAAATAAAATACAAAAAAAGCACATTGGGGATCAGCTGGGTTGTAGCTGACGTCTCTCGATGTGTGTCCTCTACTCCATGATCCCAACGATGGGGACTCTCGGCTTCCCAGAGTTTCCTTCAGCGTAGAAATGCTGGTGGCCCCATCGCCTCAGCCAAACTCCAAGGAGGTGACTGAAGTGGAGGATCACGTAAGGACCACTGGATCATGACGTATTCTTGTTTTAAATAACAAGAACCACGGGCAATGTGCTCTCTTTGCTGTCGGCTGCTTTTGTGACACTGCAGCTCTGCGTGAGCTGGTGTGTACCCGGGGAAGACAGCTGAGGGCAGTGGGGAGCAGTAGAAAGAGGACAGAGCAGCCAGACTGGGTCACATCCCAGCTCCATTACTTAACAGCCATGTGTCAAGCAGCCTCTCTATGATCTGCATAATAACACAATTATAGCCACCACCAACGGAGTAGCTTTTATATACCAGGTCCCCTACTAAAAGCTTTACAAGCAGTCCCTCAACTAAGCCTTGCCAACAGTCCTGAAAAATACGTTTTATTATACCCAGTTTTCAGATGAGGAAACTGAGGCTCAGAGATATCACCTAAGTGTTTGCGATCATTCAACCGGGAACGCCTGGAGCCAGGATCTGAGCCTGTGCTCTGACATCCTCCATGATGAAGTCTTCTCAACAGTGGGGACAGCACTGCCTTTCTCAGAGTTGTGAGGATGCAAGTCTATTGGATCCCCTGAGTTTTCAGACCAGAACCAAGCATTTTGTAAAAGTGCAATTAATAACTAAGGAACTGCACTGAAAACACAGTTCCTGCCCAGAGGAAGTTCTCTGAATTCTGGCCAATGCACTGCCCAGGAAAAATTCTTAACTCCAAGACCTGCCTTGTGCCACTTTATCCACATTGCCATAAACCCCAATCATAGGGTGATGGGTGGTGGTGGGGTAGGGAGAGCGGGAGGGGGTTACTGATGAGAATCAAACGCGTTTTCCCAAGTATTGAATCTGGGTCAAATTCAGAGGTCAGAAGTAAAAGCTCGGGGAAAATCTCTATCCCCTCTTTAGAAATAAAAGTTTAAAATTAGAGGTAATGGGCCGGCCCCGTGGCTTAGAGGTTAAGTGCACGCGCTCCGCTACTGGCGGCCCGGGTTCAGATCCCGGGCGCGCACCGACGTACCGCTTCTCGGGCCATGCTGAGGCCGTGTCCCACATACAGCAACTAGAAGAATGTGCAACTACGACATACAACTATCTACTGGGGCTTTGGGGGAAAAAAAGGAGGAGGATTGGCAATAGATGTTAGCTCAGAGCCAGTTAGCAAAAAGAGGAGGGTTAGCATGGATGTTAGCTCAGGGCTGATCTTCCTCACACACACACACAAAAAAAGGTCTAAAAAAATAAAATAAAATTAGAGGTAACACTACTTTTGCTCAGCATATTTTTAAAGCATGATTCAGAAAATAATTAGAACTGGTTTTCACTTACCAAGGATAGAAACTTGTGCAAATATATTTTCGGTACACAGCAATGCCCGAGGAAGCAATTCCGATCATTAGATCTAAGTTGTGCAGATCCTGTAAGAAGTAAGATCTCAGATTCACAGTGTGTTATTGCCATGCTCATGCCCTCCAGTAACTCAAGCACCCACGCTTTTATAAATAGCAACATGTATGAGCTCCAAAGGGAAAATGTTAGTGGAAACAGGCAAAAATCCCCTCTTGACAGATACTTAAGATCTTAGTACTTAGCACCAAATTCTTCTAAAGTAAACGCACGCTGCCTGACAGCAACACCTGGTTTCCATCGGTTTTGAAGTTATCAGGAAAGCCCACTCATTCCACAGAACTGTGGAAATAAACATTCAATTTCAAATTTTCAACAATTAGTATTAGATATCATATTAAAATCAGACAGGCCTCGTCTCCTGCACAGCTTTATACAGATCTCAACTCCCATCACTGAAAGGCTTTAGCTATTATAACGAAGCATAGAACTGCTGACACCACATCCAATTAAGAAATAGATATTGCTTATAAATCCAACACATTCAACACTTATTAAGAGCCTATGGGCTAGACATTGCCACAGACAGCGAAGTTACAGAAGGAAGATAGAAGCTGTTTTAAATCCATTGGGGAACAAGGTGAGTATAAGCAAATAAAATTTTAAAATAAAACAGTTCCTTCCCTTGAGTCATCTATACCCCTTTTACCCAACTGGATACTTGCAATTATAAACGACGGGCTGAGTTTGACTGGGTTACCACTGAGTGTGAACCTTAGGTCTGCCACTTACTAGCTATGTTATTTTGGGCTACTGAGCCTCAATTTTTCCTTTTGAAGACGAAGAATTATTGAACCCACCCCCAAGGGTTTTTATCAGGCTGAAATTAGAGAATATAAGTAAAGAATGCAGAACAGGGTTTGGCATGTGGTCAGTATAATAAACATTCAATCTCTTTTGCCTCTCAAGAGATAGTGGGACAAATCACTTATGAACAGTGTGAATGTGGGAAATTAGAGAAAGTGGCCAAAGAAAACAGTGTTGATGTGGTGGAAAGTCCAGAGAATATTCACTATTGGGAACCCAACTGAAACCACAGGCTTAATTAAAGCAAAACCAAATTTGCATGGTGAAGACCAGGGTTGCATTTAAACGTGGTATCTGTGATCAAAATACAGGGAAAGGTTAAGCCAGTGGGACAGAAGAACAAATTAGCAAATAAGGAATAGCAATAGCAGAATAAGGAAATGAATGAACGGTTTGGGTGGGCCAGTGACTTAGGTCTGAAATCTCCTGGTTCTGTGATCTTTCAGTCTGCACCCCAATCCCAGCCGCACAGACAGTTACTGTTTACTAAAGTCCCATCCCCATCCCCACATTTTCCAGCTCCATTTGCAGAGGGCAGGGCCATGTGACTAGTCAGGGTCAATGTGTTATAGCAGAAGTGATGTCTCTCTTCTGGGCCGAATCATTTAACAGCTGGTACGAAACCCTCCGGCTTCCTCTTCCCTTGTGACCAGCATGAGGCCAGGTGAAGATGGTGAAGCCACAAGACTGAAGTGGCCTAGACTGCTGAGTCACTGCACGGAGGAGGGCTGCCCCAGAGCATCGCCAGGACACACCGCAGACTCTGAACTGCTGAGAAATGAACTTTGTGGTATCAAGTGATTGAGATTTAGGGGGTTTTGGTTGATGCAGCATAGCCAGGGGTAACCCAGCTCTCTCTGCTACCTTGGGGGGCATCAGCCAGGCAGGTAATCATCTGGCCTCAGGACCCTCATGGGGCATGATGGCCGTTTCACTGATGGCACTGGGGGCGGGAGAGCACAGATCAACTCAGGCAGATATAAAGTCCACTTCACCACAGAAGAAAGTTCTCCACAACATTCCACTACAGACAAAATATTTGCAAGTGGAATAAAAATTAAAGGGCAAGTCCCAAAGTTGATATTTTGTAAGATCTGATGTCTTTTTTCCAACTTTATTACCTATGTCATGACTTGCCCGCCTCACAGTTATGGGACTGAAGTGAGACAAAAATAAATTAGAGTGTTTGTATGAATTACAAAAATATTATATAGATGTAAAGTTTTGTCGTTTACTCAACTTCCCTAAGCCTCGGTTTTCTTATCTGTAAAATGGGATGATTAGATTACCAATTTCACAAGGTTGCCATAATCTTTAAATGGAACAATGGCTAGTATGTAGTAAGTGTTCGACCAGTATTTGCTTCCTTTTTCTTTTCTTTTTTTTTTTTGGTGAGGAGGACTAGCCCTGAGCTAATATCTGATGCCAATCCTCCCCCTTTTTTCTTGAGGAAGATTGGCCCTGAGCTAACATCCGTGACCATCTTCCTCCACTTTATATGGGACGCCGCCACAGCATGGCTTGACAAGTGGTGCGTCAGTGTGCGCCCAGGATCCGAACCTGCGAACCCCGGGCCGCCACAGTGGAGCGTGCGCGCTTAACCGCTTGCGCCACCGGGCCGGCCCCAGTATTTGCTTCCTTTTGGATATGATGTGGGTCAATTACATTAGTATGTCATTGCTCAAAGGTCACGTGCCAATTAGACAGTGCTGGGGTCATGTACTGAAGCCACTACTTCTGTGCTATGTGACCTTTGATAAGTTCCTATCAGTTTCTCCATCTGTAAAACAGGGTAATGATAATACCTACCTCATAGTATTACTATGGGAATAAATAAGCTACTGTGCGTAGCACATAGAAATTGGTCAATACTGAGCAGATGACAGATATTAGTCAATTTTACTTAAAAAGTTACAACCAATTTAAAATATTTGACTTTGACAATCATACCATAATCTAAAAAACTGAGTAACTAGCTCTAACTTAAGCAGCACTGAGAGTAAGTGGTAGAAACTTTGCCTCATTAAAGTATCACTCAGCAAATAGATTTATATGCTTTTTTTTTGCCTCTTTAGCCATAAAATGAAATGGTCTTACAGAAATTACTTGTTTCTAATCCCCTGACCCTCTAAAAGGAAAATGTCTTCAAGTACAAAGGCAAACAGGGAAAAGACAATCAGATAACCAGCAGAACTCAATGTAATTTTACAAACCTTCCAAATATCTTTAAAAAAAAGGTCTTGTTTACGACACTGGAAAAGAAATAGTTTGATCAAGAAGCTTTCCAACTCTTATAAGTTAAAATCAAAATAATCTTTCAACCAGAACGTGGCAGGATACATACCCTGCCACCGTGCAGCTCTACTCCATAGAAGTCGAGGGTCCGGGCGATGTTGATATAGCAAGATTCAGCTTCTGACTGTTTCAGCCCACTACAGAAGAGAGGAGATGCAGAGCTCACCCAAAAAATGGAGGATATTAACTCCAAGTTTTAAAATTAATAAAAATTTGAAACATTTGATAACATTTCTGTTAGGTTATTAAACGCCTTATGTTATTAATCTTAATCTAACCCCAAATTCTCCTAAACCAAGTTTTTCTTCTTGTCCAACGAACACGACTTCATCTAGCCTGCTCATTTATTAAATAATACTTCTCACTTAGTGGGCTCTCAACATTCAGATATCGAAGACTGTCTCCTTTTCCTGCCCTACTTATTCCAAGGTGATTAATTAACAGGTACTTTTAGGTCTTTCTGCCTTGATCTATCCTTTTAGCAGCAGCCTCAAACTTCCAAACGTCACTGTGCTATTTTAGGAGCTGGCTTCTGCCAGGGGAGCAATTCCGGGAGAGAGGTTTGGCAGCGCCCTTTTAGAAAGGACGCTGGCTGCTGGGCCTTTGTCTTTACCTCCTTTCCAAGAACGTGACATCCCTTGAGAACTGTCCTGCTCGGTCGGGGTGGCCCTTACTTGACCCGAACAGCTGCCACTGCAGCTTTGAACAAAATGAGGCAAAAGAGGAGGGCAGAACCTGGCATATTTGTCGGAGCTGGGTCTTGCCTGGAGGCAGCTGTGCTCCCTTCTCGAAGTAACGCGGTTTCCCAAACTGAACCCAGAGGGACCTTGGGATTCACCCCGCCTGGCAGCATTTACATCCACATGCCCGTCTACTCAACACCAGCAGAAGGAATGGCCCATTTTATTAAACGCGGCAAAATGCTAAAAGGTTTATCGGGTAGCGCCAATTTGCGGGGCAATCAGATTTCAAAATGGGTCATTTCCTTCAGGAATTAACTGATTTCAATGACATCCTGAAACGGAACGCAGCAAGTTACCCTGAACTCTTACTGGTGTGTACAGTTCACAGAAAGGCTAGTTATGCTAAATATATCTGCCATCATAACAGCTCACAGGCTCACAAATCCCCGACAGCTTGAAAGAGAATTCATGAGCAAAAGCAGAGAACACATCAAACAGAGGGACCCGAGGTCTGACGGTACCTGATCCGAGTTCCACGTAGGCCGCCCACCCCTCCTCACCTGTGCTGCTTGTGGAGAGATTCCACCTTCATTAAAAAGTCATCGCTCTGGTCTGGTATAAACTGACTATCGGAAAGATAGCCTGGATGATGAATGGAAGAATCATAGTCTCCAAAGCGAGCTATCACGACAGAATGAGGGGGAAATTGCCTTTTTAATAGGGTCTGTGTGTACAAGCATCTACAGCATCACAATAAAACATTAATTGGAAATATTCTTCCGAGAAGTTCTGCCACTACATGACCTTGAGTTTCTCATTCGCTCCAGATTCCACATTATCTGAACTCGCATTCTGGGCTAAGTACTGCCACACATGGTCCAACCGATTCACTCTCCCCGAGGACACAGGACGAGGAGAGTGCTGGAAGCTAGGTCTTATCCTAACCCCACCGCTGTCCCATACTCTGTGGGCAGCAGGTACCCCTGGATACACTCACACCCCTGGATAAAGGAACATAAGAGCACCCACTCAGAACATGCCACGCTGTATGCCAGGCACTGTGCCGGCTGAGTACCCCAAGGTTATTCTGTAACACTGGACCACCCTGCTCTAAAAAGTGTGTGTGGGCAGGAGAGGTCATGCTGACCTAACCGCTGTTTGCATCTTGACTCACTACCCGGGATTCTGGGAAGTATGGAAGAAAGGAAACCATGATGTGCTCAGAGACCAAGGGGTGGGGGTAGGGGGATGGAGGATCTGGGCCCTGGCAAGGCTGGTGGCAGAGTTCTGGGGAACAAGGAAGCATTCTTAGGGAAATCAGAAGACAGCTGCTGGGGCTGCCAGGGAAATCATGCTGGGGACCTGCAGGAAGAGGAAGGGGGGCCATACAGAGGCACTCCCAGACTGGTCCCTGGTCCAAACGGCACCTCTCCCTCAAGACGTTTGACTACCATCTGCAGACGTGATTCCTTGATGTCAATGATGGGATGAGTACTCCTGAGTTGTGCAGTGCCCAACCTGTAAAGTGTACATGGCTCCCCTGAAGACTCAAACCATCTGGGTGTCTGGACTGTTAAGGAGACTGGGAAAAAGGACCCTGGCTGAGGAGCCAAGGATCTGGCTTATGGGACCCAAGGACACCTGCTTCTCTTCTCCAAGATTCAGTTTTTCCATCTGTATAAAAACCTGAGTGAGGAAGACAATTTCCAGCTCTGATGGGCAATTAATCTAGTATTCCACTTCCTTGACAAAACAAAAAAAGACTATTTCATCTTCTTAAAACTATTAACCCTGATCTTTCCAAAGGTTTTAATGAATTCTTCCTGCAGCCGGCTTCAAGGCTCGGAGGCTTCTGAGGTCTCACGATTGTTTTCAGAGTACCCATTCGACACAGAAGATTTCTAAATCAAACAACTCCTTCTCCGTCACCAGGACAGGAATTGGGGAAAGCTGCGGTGACGCCTCATGGCCAATCTCAGAAGGAGAGAGGAGCCAGGTGGTTGCTCAGGTGAATTTCATCACGAAGTTGAAAGGTCAGAGCAAGGCTGTCTTTCTTTACATCCATCGAGCCTTGCTTAACCTCGACTGCCATCACACAGGGCTGTTCTTTGAGAGCACTGTAGTGAAGAGATCTGTTTCCTACTTACACTGTCCCTTGCGGGCTGGGAGTGGGTCAGACTCATCTTTAGGGCTTAGCACCTAGGTATGGCACACAGAGTTGCTCAGTGATGTGCTTACTCGTCACTGACGTGTACAGAGGTTTCTGCAAAGTTCAATTTTGGAAAAGGAAAAGGGCAGCAGCAAGCCAAGTGACCTATGCATGCAGACTTGGTTAAGGGTAGACCACAGGCTGTTAAGGTCAGCTATATGCGACTAAGCTGTGGGCAGAAATGTCAAGGCTGCATGATGTAAGCACAAGTGTGATTTACAGGTGAGTCTGTGCATGGTGAAATATACGATAGTGCATTTACAGGAAACAATTTAGACACCCTGACAGAGGGTCCCCAACGAGGAAAGCTCAAGAAAGCCTTAGAATCACCTCGTCCAAACTCCTCATGTGAAAGGGGAAGAAACTAAGGTCCAGAGAGAAGGGACTTACCCCTATCACAGAGAGTTTTTCAGCTTAGTCAAGATCAGAACCCAGCTGATCTGTGCCCCAGCTAATGCTCCCACCGTTCCAGCAGCCTGGCAGGCCTGAGCTGCCGCTGGCCATTTGATGACAATAATGGTCATGTCCCCAGAGGGCAACCAAATGCTGCAAATGACTTTCTTGAGCCTCAAGGCAGAGTCCTATTAAATTTTACTCTGTTGGTGTCATTAGCTCATGGAGATTCTCTGGGATCTCGATTTGGTCATCCATCATATTAGCTAACAGTCTCAACTCCTGTGCAAACATCAACAGCAAGGTTCTCTCTCTGGTCAAGTCGCTGACAAACGTCTGTACTTAACGCATGACCAATGAACCTCCCTGTAGGGTGAGTTTCCCTTGAAATCTTAGTTGGCTACTCTGTGCAAAGTCCTGTACTAACCACTAGGGGGAAACCAAGTTAAACAGTCACAGCAAACACCTGCAAAGCGCAGGGCGGTTTCCGGGCTGATTTCAATGACATCATCCCACTAGATGATCTCGGCAGCCCCGTGACGGGCAGTGCTTTCATCCCCATTAAACAGATAAGGGATTGAGACCCAAGGAAGGGACCTGTTGCTCAGCTGGTAACTTAGAGCCTAGACTCTGACCACAGTCCATACTCTTTATCTACTTACTATGTATATATACCACACGCCCTAAACTCCAGAGTGTCTGGAAAAGGAAATACGTGCTTATGTGGGAAATACCTTGTCTTGAAGGTCCATGCATTCTTCCACCTGATACTACTTTATATTTTGCAGGAAGGAGTACGTCCCAGGTACTCAAATGCATGGCATTTCAAGCTGGCCAGCTGTTCTGCTGGGAAAGGCCTTCACACGCTATTCCTCCAACTCCCACCTGATCTTAGAGGCTCTTCTCAGGGGTTGTCGCTAGGAAGCTTTTCCAGACCTTCTCCTCTCTCCCCCAAGCAGGATAGAGTGCATCCTCTGTGTTCATCCTCATTGCCAGCATCAGCTGGTCCACCTCTCCCCCCCACCAGGCTGGAGACCCCTTGCAGAGAGCAGCCGTGCTCTGTCTGTGCACCAAGGCTGGTGCAGAACCCACACGTGGCAGAGGCTCAGAGGACATTATGGAGTAAATATCTATTTCCAAAAACTTCATTCTTT